CGAACAGTGTCTTGGCGTTGCCGTCACGGTCCATTAGTTCGTAGTAGACTGGCCGCGTAGTCAAAATGAAAAATGCCTAATGAAGGAGATGTTGTGAGAGAGAGGCAGAAGCAGTGGCGTACCCAGGGGTCTTGAGATGGGGGAGGGGACTAATTGGGAGGTAAACTGGGACTCGATGATTAGGTGAGGGGGTCGGGCTCAACGATTAGGTGAAGGGGTCTAGCTCGATATGAGGTGATTTTTAACTCTTTGAGTGTGATAATTTTTGTGGGGGAGACTGGGGACCATTGGGTGGGGGAGACTGGGGACCAGGGTGGTGGGGGATATTTTTATTGGGGTGGGGGAATCCCATGCACCCCATAGATACGCCAATGGGCAGTAGCGAAGTCAGGTTTAGTGTGGTGCTTATTTGGAAGCGGCGCTTAGTCGAGAGAGGTGAAATCAATTACATAGGGCCTAATTTAAAAAATTATTTTTTCAAAATCCACAATTGTATGAATATTGTGTTCATTAAAGTGACCTTACCCGTGAAGGTGCACAATCGCAAAGGCTACATAAAATATATAGATAATGAATGTTTCACGTCCCCACCCATATCAAATGTTGGAGCCTCATGAAAAAAAAAAAAATGTTTTGCTATTAAAAAATGTCCAAAACATTTTTCCATGGAAAATAAATATAATAATGGCCTGGGGGCCAGGGGGCCGCCTAGGGCTTCGCCCCTGGAAGCCACTGATGAATTTAAATGGCGAATTCTTATTACTTATTTGATAGACATCGAGTTACTATATGACTTCATGTAGGCTATGCTTTCTAATGTTGAAATCAGCTTCCAAAACCAAAACATTTTGAATAAAGCAAGAAACAAAAAGTATGCAATGTAAGTAACCATCTAATTTATTTTCAAATCCTCCTTCTTGAAAGTGAAATTCTATATTTTGGAAATATATATATTCCAACCATCATGAGGCTATGTAAATGAGCATTTGTCATAACAGAACTCAAATTATTTTCAATTAGTCTCATTGAATTATTATTATTATTATTGTTATTGTTGTTGTTGTGATGATGATGAAAAGTTAACACAAACAATATGGTGGCTAAACGAATATTAAATGTAAATATTTTTTTTATTTGTTTGTTTCCCAACAAAATTTTATCGTCTTCCCCGACGGTGGGGGGGGGGGGGGTGGTATTCTTCCCCGACGGGGGATATACCCCAGCCCCCCCCCCTCTGGCGCCACCACTGCCTCACTAAAAAAAAATCAAACGCAGGACGACGTGAAACTAATAAAATATTTTATATTTGGCGGCGCCTCCCCGATGGGAGTTCAAGTCTCTAACAGGGGAAGGGGGTGAGGCTGATATCCCCGACAAGAAAAAAGTGGGCGTGGTCGGGCGTCGCTAAAAACCTTTTAGCGACGGGGAGGAGGATATGACAATTTAGGGGTTTCAAAGGCTTATTTAATCAATAACCCCTCCAGTGGCACCGCCACTGCTAATACTTGCATTGTAGCGCCGCCACACAGGCAATACAGTACATTAGGCCATGGCCTACTTGAATTGCATTTGGGAAATTCCAATATTATATCATATCCTTTTCGCTGCTTTAGTGCTTTTGTTTTTTGGAGCGTCAGCATAGGCATTTGAGAATCAAGAGAGGCATATAGCCTATAGATAGGGCCTAGCTAGGTCGAGGCATAGGTAAGTAATAATTTTATGTTCTTGAATGTGCTCCATGTCAATCTACTTTACTTCCTATTAGAATCTACTAAGTTTTTAAACCATGGAGGTATGTAAAATTAAACATTCCAAATATAATAAACTAATAACTTCCCTGGTTCCGATACTATATATAGCATTCATGTCATAAGTAGTAGTAGGTAAGTAAAGTAAATAGCCTACATAAAATGCAATGGTTTTAAGTTGTACGTTCTATGTACATCACAGAGATTAATTATCTCTGATTGGCCAAAAATTGCTGATAAAAGATCATAAAAATTTGTTGGGGCGCTTCATTTTGACTATAATGTTGATGATATAAGAGTGTCATTTCCGGCGATTTAGAGACTATTTCCCCAAATCGCACCTCAGTCCCAACCATGGTGCGGCTGAGGTGGGTGTGGACTCGAATGACAATTTAGGGGTTTCAAAGGCTTATTTAATCAATAACCCCTCCCGTGGCGCCGCCACTGCTAATACTTGCATCGTAGCGCCGCCACACAGGCAATACAGTACATTAGGCCATGGCCTACTTGAATTGCATTTGGGAAATTCCAATATTATATCATACCCTTTTCGCTGCTTTAGTGCTTTTGTTTTTTGGAGCGTCAGCATAGGCATTTGAGAATCAAGAGAGGCATATAGCCTATAGATAGGGCCTAGCTAGGTCGAGAATAGGTAAGTAAGAATTTTATGTTCTTGAATGTGCTCCATGTCAATCTACTTTACTTCCTAATAGAATCTAATAAGTTTTTAAACCATGGAGGTATGTAAAATTAAACATTCCAAATATAATAAACTAATAACTTCCCTGGTTCCGATACTATAGCATTCATGTCATAAGTAGTAGTAGGTAAGTAAAGTAAATAGCCTACATAAAATGCAATGGTTTTAAGTTGTACGTTCTATGTACATCACAGAGATTAATTATCTCTGATTGCCAAAAATTGCTGATAAAAGATCATAAAAATTTGTTGGCGCTTCATTTTGACTATAATGTTGATGATATAAGAGTGTTATTTCCGACGATTTAGAGACTATTTCCCCAAATCGCACCTCAGTCCCAACCATGGTGCGGCTGAGGTGGGTGTGGACTCATGGCTTTGAAGTAGGTATAAAGTAAAGTAACAAAGACATTGTTTTAAAGTTTTATTTTCTATGGTACATTACACAGATTGATTAGATCTCTATGATTGTTGAAAATCGATGTAAAGATCATGATGAGAAATTAGTTGGCACTTCATTTTGATTATAATGGTGATGTGATGATGATGAGTAAATACATACCGTAAATGCTTGAATAAGCGCCGCTCTCGAATAAGCACCGCTCTCGAATAAGCGCCGCACCAAACTTAATCGATAGTATTATTACCCTGTGCAGTGGCGTAGCTTTGTGCAGTTTCCCCAGTGCAAAGCACTGGGGCCCAGGGCTATTGAGGGCTCATTCATAAATAATTTTTAAATAATTCCCAACTACTTTTGAAGAAAAAAAAAAACTGAACAGCCAGCGGGCCCCTCAATATTATTCGGTTTTAAGAGGAGTAATTATTAATTGTGTTCAATTCAGTGGTGTATTCAAGGGGGCCCCAGCCGGCCCGACTCAATATTTTTTTTTTATTATAAACAAATTGGGAAAAAAAAAATTATATTCATTATATTATGAAGTAGGAGAGTATCATTTCCGGCCATTTATGAGGTGCTATAATCATAAATATTCTTACTTCAGCCCCAACCATGGTGGGGCTGAGGTGGTCTGCATCTTCCACCTATGAGAATCCCACCCTGCGTCTATTTCGAATTCCCAAATCCACCACTGCAATTTTACGTGCCACCAATTTTCTTGATTAGGCCTAGCCTAGTTTAGAACAGCCACTGGGACCGAATATGCCCCTCTTAAAATAATCTGATTATCATTGGTATTTATTACTAACCTAGGCCTTTATAAGTAGGAGGTAAAGGAAGCAATTCTTACTGAATGTACTGTAGTGTTACAAATCATGGTAAAGATGAAGGCGAGCATGAACCAGTCAGAGTTTCTGATGCATTCGATGACTTTAAATTACTGTACTCTACTCGCGCGAATAAGCGCCCCGTTTGAATAAGCACCCCTCTCGAATAAGCATGAACAAAAATTTCCTTAAGCGCCCCGTTTGAATAAGCGTCCCCTTCTAATTTGAATATCGCCCCCTCAATAATTCAATCAATCCTGGGACTGTGGATGTTGGCATGATTTGAGGTTTGGAGTGGAATCACATTGTCCTTTAGTCAATATCAAAATGAGGATATTTATCTTGGACAGATGAGAGCTCCCTGGACAAACAGTATATTTCCAACTTTCATTTTCTTACATTTGTCTATAGCCTAGTCCTACTCCTTTTCCGACAATTTGCACCTTTAACACATTCTTGTGTAAGTTTTCAAAAAAATCTGCAATGATATGCCGTCCTGCTATTCTTAATCGGCCATTGGCCAACAAGCTAATCACCACCACTAATTCCATCTGCTATTCTGCTGTTATGTAATATTACTGTACTCACAACATTCTTGCCATGACAAGCCATGCTCTCTGGATGATTATCTTTTCCGCCGCACCACCATTCGTAATTTGCTGTTTCCTGATGTCCTTATATAATCGTTTTTCATTAAAAATGTGCCTCATGAATTTAGTAAGTTCTCATAAGAACCCCTCGATTTTCATCTATTTCCATAAGCGCCCCCTCAATTTCCACTCTGTTTTCATAAGTGCCCCGTTAGAATAAGCGCCACGTTTGAAGAAGCGCCCCTCAAAAAGTGAAAAACTATTTTAAGCGCCCGGGCGCTTATTTGCGCGAGTACGGTAACAGCAAATGCTTTTGTAGAAGAAATTGTTAAATTTGTCAGAGAAACAGAAAGGTCGTTAGAGGGAAGTTTAATGACGTCTGCGAGGCAAAACAAAAGAAAAATAACTCTCAAAAATTGATGAACTTAATACCCATTTCACACTAGCAGAAAATATTACAACTTTTAACAAGTTGTAACAAGTTTGTTATTCCGAGATTTTTGGTTCGTTTCACACATGCACTTTCAAACCATGAGAAATCTCGGGAAAACTCGGAAGAATAATGACTAGGCCTAGAGGCGTAGGGTAGTACTAGTAGTAGGCCTAGGCTAGTTGTAGGTTGTCCAAATTACATATCAACTACTAAACTAGGCCTGGTACCGAATTAACAAGATCATAATTATTCCATGGTCCTTAGCCTTCGGAAAGTAAAACGAATTCAACTCCTAGCTCGCTTGCTGTAGTCGAGCTGGCGAGAAAGATAGGCCTAGGCTAGCTAGGCGCAGTCGGGCCGCCAGCCAGTAGCTCACCATTGTTGTTATGTTAGAGGCAATCAGTGCGACAAGCATCATAATGATTCACTGTCGGCGTATTTTACGAAGCCTCGTGATTGTTTCAACATCAGACATGTGAAATTGTGTGCATGTATTCAACAACCGTATTTATTATAATGTGAAAAACATTGGATCTAAGGGTTGTCAGGAAGGACAGATGATTTAGCCTGTTGATGTTGCTGTCACAATGGGTGACTAGTAATTTAATCCATAAGACTATTTATTCCAACTATTAAGACTCTAGATTCTATTAAGAGAAGAGGATTCGCCACAGAGGTACAACATCAAAGCTATTTCATTATTGATAAGCCTCCTAATGATTAGCAGTAAGCTAAGATGAGTGTAGGCTGCGGTTTTTGCACATTCAAACAATACGCAGGCCGTGTATAAATTTTATACACGGCCTGTGTGTTGTTGGTACATGCTTAGCCTCGTTGTAAAACCGCTGAAATGAAATTAGTGGGAAAAAAGTAAAGGAAAATTTATATTGGTTTTTCTGAATCACCATACCCTGTAGTGTATATACACCATACCATAGTGTCACAGAAAAAAAAAATCCCCATCCCTGGAGTTTAAGCAACTTTTTAATTTTGGATTAAAATACCTATTTTATACTATTTAAGATGGGGGTAATGGAAATAAATTAATGTTTTTAGTCACTTTTACATACACTATGAAAACCCAGGCTAACTGTATTCAGGCACAGGGTGGAAGTATGCACTCTTTGGAGTGACTGCTCTCTAGTTTTATACCTTTTTTCCTACCTTAGGCCGCTTTTCCACAATACAGTAATAGTTCTGAGTAACACTACTGAATTTTAGATGCGTTAATCTAAATGATTGGGATTTTTTTTCTTTTAAAATATAGTTCTAGGTTTGTTTCTAGGACTATGTCTGATTTAACTCGGAACTCTGCACTAACACTGTCATGACGAACAAAACCCCAAATTAAATAAATGAAAAATGATGGTTCATTCAGGGAACAGTGCTCTGGTTCATTGAAGAGTTGTTCCTTCCGCAATAGACACAACTAGGTAATACTTTAAAAATCAATTTAATTCCGAAGAATAACACAACGCAAAGATTAGTTTGTGTGAGTTTTTCTTGGAAACAGTGCAAATTGTGTGCAAGACTAATACTATTACCATAGGCCTATGGTATTAACTTGGCCTATCATTAATTTCAAATTGATTTTCGAAGTACAGTAGAGTATTGTTTGGAATGAAATGCCTGTCTCAAAAGTTCAATCAACCAAGAGTTATTGATTATGATTGTCTAATCAAAAGCACGTGTAGTTGTTAACAAATGCCACACTCGATTGGAAAATTTACATTACCGTATATTTTTTACCAGCTTGGTTCCTGTGTTTGAAGAAGATAAGTGCATGGAGCAAAAATTGACAGTAAAATAAGATAAATTTTGGAATCACCTACATTAAGGCTTATGTAAGTAAGAATTAAATTTGTTCTTAAATATCTACATTGCATTAATGGCTACATTTTGTTTAAAATATAGAAATCAATGTTATGCAGCTGTTTTTTATATTGGTTAATATTGTTAATAATGAGGCAACACATAATCATTTTGCAGTACGAATATTTGATCAATGTATATATTCTCTTTATTTCCAAAACAACCTAGGCCTAAGACTAAATAAGAGAGTCTATTGATCATTTGAAAAGAAAAACGATAGGCCTATCATTATTGGATTCATATGTAAGCCTAATGTCTATACTACCACGTCATCATAGTATATATGCAGTATTTATAAATGATAAACGTACATAGGCCCTATTATTATTTCTATTATCCCTTTAAATTCAGTACCACCGATTTTACCTTTGGCCATGCAACCCGAGTTAACTATGGAAGCATTTTAATTCTGAATCTATCAAATGGAGGCATTGTTGGCAGATGATAACAAGATTGAGAGACGAGCAAATCTAAAGTGCATATGGAACAAATGTTGGCACCTCCTAAGACTACCACCGCTCGATAGCTCATCACCCCCTCCCCCTTAATCCATGTGTTTATTCCGTGTTTTTCACTTCCAACAGAGTGGTTCTACTTCAAACTTAATCAAGGCCTTTTACTCTGCCAAGGGATATTATCAATGAGTATTTTGTAGGTTCGAGTCTGAGTGTATGTTCCACAAACTTAATCAAGACCTTTTACTCTGCCAAGGGATATTATCAATGAGTATTTTGTAGGTTCGAGTCTGAGTGTATGTTCCAGAGACTACAGTAACACGTACGTACTACAATTCTAACTTTGTAGTCTTTGCAATATTAAACATGTTTCTTTATACTGTAGATAAAACAAATAATTACATTTGCAATAATTATTCCCCAGCAGACCATTAAATACTGGCAGCATGAATTTAATAATGGAGGTTAGAAATAATAGACCCTAGATAACCTATACTTAGGCCTATTACTATTTTTTTAGGATTCCAACATGGCTGAAAATGAGCTGCATCAATCAATGGGAGACTCAAATAAATGTCAAATCTGTCTAGAAACACGCAATGAACTAAAAACATTAAATTGCCAGCATAGTTTCTGCTTGCGTTGTCTTCAAGATTGGATGAATAAAAAGGGGGAAATGGAGTGTCCCAACTGCCGTCAAGTACAGCGTATTTGTGAGGGAGGGCTTAAAGAACTGCCTTCAAAAACAAATAGTGAGGGTACTGCAGAGCATTTAGTTGAAAGTCATGGTGACAGGAAATGCTACTGTGGTAAAGAAAATGCCGAGTTCTTCTGTCAGGATTGTAGACAGTGCGTATGTTCCTTTTGCAAACATTCTCATGATTTCTTGCCTGCTCTCAGGAACCATACACTAGAACCAATCAATACCAACTGGCCAACAGAAGAGCCAGAACCACTTTGTCCACAGCATGAGAGAAAGTTGGAGTTTTATTGCAACATTTGTAAAACACCGATCTGCCAAAAATGCACTGTTACAGATCATAGTAAAGATGAAGGAGAACATGAACCAATCAGAACTTCTGATGCATTCATTGAATTTAAATTAACAGCGAATGCTTTGATGGCTCAAGCTGATATCCACAAACACCAGACAAATGTAGGTATAAAGAAATGTAAAGCAAATAATTCTGAACTTAGTAAGGGTAGAATTTGTCTAATAAAAGACATCAACAACACAGTGGAGGAAATTGTTAAATTTGTCAGAGAAACAGGAATGTCTTTGGAAAGGAAGTTGGATGATGTCTGTGAGGCAAAACAAGAGAAAAATAACACGCAAATTGATCAACTCAAATCAACAATATCAAGTGTTGAGGAAAAAGAAGAATATGTTGCAAAATTATTGAAAGGTGGTGAAGCAAGAGCTCTCCAAGCTTGTCAACAGGCAATTAAAGAACTACAAGAAAAGATTGCTGTCTTACCAGAGACAGAACCTAGAGATGATGGGAAGGTTTACTTCTCTTCAAACAAAGATCGAATATTGAATACATTGAAGGAAAAGGGAATTGGCCTAGGTAGTGTTACTGAAAAGCCAGATGCAAATATCTTTGAAATTGTACAAGGATACCCAAAGACTGTTACACATAATCAACCTTTTCATGTCAAAATAGCTCAAAATGTTAAATGTGAAGTAGATATAAGGGACCTAAAGGCAAAATGGGTATTAAGTGATAGTTTGGGTCACTATGATGTATGTAGCATGGTTGAGCAGACTCGTGAGAGAGGGTATATTGTAAATGCAACTTACAGGAGATCGTTATGTACTATCATGAACTTGCATGTTACATTTTGTAATGCCTCAATAAAAGGCTCTCCAGTCAAAATCAGTGTTGAATCACAAGGTACACAGACTCTGATTAACAACATTGCTAACATTGAAAAGGGAATCAGCAGGTTATTCTGGTCTCAAAATGGTTACTTTATATTGAGTTGCTACACAAATGAAATATTTAAATTTACAAATTCAGGTGCATATATCAGTAAAATAAAATTATCACAGAAAACAAGAATTAGTGGAATTTGTGAGTTGAAAAACAACAACCTCATATTTTGTGACTCGGGTAGTACAAACATAACAATTTGCAAACAAAATGGCCAGGTGATTAAATCCATATCAACTGGTCTGGCAAGTCAAAATTCACTATCTGGTATTGATGTGAATGAAGCTATAAATTTAGTATACGTTGCTGATCCAACTGCGAATTGTGTATATGCATTTGACATGGAGAGTAATTGTAAGGTGAAGACTATTGGATCTAAGGGTTGTCTGGAAGGACAAATGAATGAGGTTTCTGATGTTGCTGTCATAAAAGATGGAAATCTTATTGTGGCGGACAAATCAAGAATTCAGTTATTTGACAAAGACGGTCAATTCATAAACCTTCTTATTGGTGGTGGCGAAGAAATTGGAATGGTGATTAAGCCTTTTAAAGTAGTTGTTGATTATGATGACAACATTATAGTAGCAAGTGAAGGAAAGGTACAGTTATTTGATAGTAAGGGAAAGTTTGTTAAAGTACTTTATGAAAACTTAAAGAGGAAATTTACTACTTATGTAATGTCTGTTTTCTCCCAATATCCTCGAAGTCTTGCATTAGCAGAATTATATTCAAATAAAATTGATGTAGTCCATTATTAGAATTTAGAGTACTAGTGTATCATTTGACTAGGCCTACTTGATTTATTGGAGTACGGTGATAGTAAAAATTGATAATCCAATGTAAATGTGGATGACCAGTCATAGCATCCTGTACTCTGCAGTATTCAGAATTAATATTTAAATTAGGCTTACGAAGGTTGAACATTTATTGTTTTCAAACTATCCTGATTGGAATCTGTGAAGTATTTAATATACATTATGGCGTTCATGGACCCATGTCAAAAGCTTTAACTGACCTCCAAGCCCAAGTTTACTCATTGTCGATATTCCATCCATAAGACTATAGACTGAAGATGATTTTTGCCACAAAATTATGTTATAATTTAATTGGTGATCCACTTCTCGAGCGGATCACCTCTTGTTATTGTACTGTCTCTTCTTTTTTTCTTATTCTTCTTTCTTTCTCCGTATTTTTGTTCGCACGATATCTCAAAATTGCTACGAGGTACGCAGACGATCGTTTCATCGATCATTTTGGCATCGCCTGGAATAGACATGGTGAGGTTTTCAAGGTGACCAGTCATGCGTGATATCAGCTACGCGCAATTTTGCGTTTTTACATTATCGATCATATCAGCCTAACCAATTGCCATTTTGAAATCGTAATTAGTGAGCATTAACTTCAGGTCAATGTTGAAGGTAATTACCCTAATTTTACGATTGCGCTTCATTACGCGCAAAAATTTCAAAATGCTCGAAATCACTTTTTGACTAAATTAGAGCACGTTTCAGGCCATTTTGAGCATTTGAAAATTTTTCATAATTTTCAACTACGCGCTCGCACTTTTACTTGCGCAGTACGTATGGAAGCTAGAAATTAGGTTTTTTTACATATTTTGGGTTCCTGAAATTGTTTTCACAAATTTAAATTGTTTTCGGTCATCTTATGGGCACGTACGACATTGCTATTGGACGGGGATTTGTGCTGATATACAGTGAAAATATGCTAAAGTAAGGCCTATTTATGACGTCATTACTTTTTATACTCGTTTGAACGTATCTTGCTTATCTTGATTGATTGTCTCCCACCTGTGAGTATGTTATAGCTAAATCAATTCTCTTTCGGACGTGTCCCTTTATTTTTCATTTTGATCACGTCAGCATGGTCAAAAAGAATGAATTTTTAGAGCATTCTTATCTCTCATTCTTAAAAGATGTAAAAATTAGAACACAGAGAGGGTGGCAGACTATTTCAACGCTATCAGACATACAGTATATACAGTATAGGTTATATGAAGGGAAAATTTGTGTGGCATTAATAACTAGCAAACGGTTTTAAAAACGTGACAATATTTAATTTCGTGTGCCATTACTGTACACGCACACATCGTGACGTGTGCGTATGTTAAAATTTCAAAATTCTCAATATCACTATTCAGATAGTTTAAATGTTTCAGGTCATTTTCTGCATTCCAAAACTTTCCATATTTACGCGCCATACGTTCATTTTCACGCACACAGAACGTACTGAAGCTGGAAATCACGTTTTGTTACATATTTTGTGTTCCTGACACTGTTTAGTGGCATAACGTATTATGCACTCTTGTGCGGTGGTCTGCAGGGCCTCGACTCCTAGTAGCCCTGAAGGAGCCCATAACGACATGGTCTTCTATCTAGCACCCTGACCCTAAAGGACTTTGTTGATACATAACAGCATAATGTGTTTCTGACATCAACTGTATGTAATTTTTGTTTTGTTTAAGCTTGTTTTATGAGAGAAATTAAATTAAATGAAATCAAAGCTATTTCATTATTGATAAGGCTCCTAGTGATTAGCAGTAACATGTTTGTCACACTGTTGGGATCCACTGCATTAGCAGAAAATGATAGTTGGGTTGTATCATATATAATGTTCGTACCATACTAAATAATGCTTATTGGCTTACGCTTACAAAATGTATTACCATTAAAGTTTTAACTCTTTCCTGTAATTTAAATTTATAACACAAAATAACCTGAAGTAAAACACATTATTATTGTAATCAGTCTCGTAACCAGCCTGGTTAAGCAAGGGGATAAATTTTAATTATATATATTTTGAAGATGCGTTTTCTGACATTTTAGCATGTTCCAAGTTAAAAAATTGATTTTGATGAAATTTGTTTTGCAAAATTGTGAGAATGTGACTCCCAGCACTTGGCCAGTGGAACACCATTGGTGCCACAATAGTTTATTTTTATTAGTTTTCACTGGAACTGGAACACAGTCTATTGGACGCATATTACGTAGCTGTCGTCATTTCATGACTACACTTGAAAAAAAAAACCACTAAGGCTAAAAATTAAAGAAAAAGATGTTATAATTACCAAGATAATATTATGTATTGTAAATATACAATGTAGCAATGTGTTCTTTACAATGTATTTCTCCACTTTACGCATTATAAGACATTTATCGAAACTTAATTCCAGAGTTTGTCTGTTCTAATCCCCTTGGTTACTTACAGGCATGGTAATATGCAAATTATAGAGAAAAAAAACCAATAATGTTTTATCGTATGTAGTATTAGTCCGTTGATGTTTTAAATATTTAGTATAAAGTGATATTTTGTCTAGTGCTGCTTTAAATTGTCTTCATTCATTATTTCATTAACATGCTGTGTTGTAAAATGTATAGAACAACAAATTATGTACTTACTGTACATACTGTCAGGCACTGTACAAACTGTGAAATGCATACACTACTGAATAATTAGCAGGCATGAGAATTATGTAACACACACATATATATGCATACACAATAGGGAGTTCTTAAGTTAAATTTAGTTGCTGTAATAAATGAAGTCGCACAACTTTGTTTTCTATTATCTTCTTGTTGTCATATTGTAATAGAATCAAGTTAACATCCACAGCCTTGACACCATGGATATCCAGAAAAACAAGGGTTACTATTTTAACTATAATCGTAGTATGCAAAGGCGATAGCAACTGTTTTGAATCAAGATGTTAAGGATTTTAGATCTCGGCAGTGGAATGATCATGGCTGAGGATGATATGGTGTAGCAGCAAGTGTGCAGCTGTGTTTTGAAATGTGGAGCATCTCGGAGACCAACACGTTTGTTGGGCCTGAAGTGATAAAATATTAGGAATATCGTACATCCTACCCAAGACACCAACAAAATTTGCCTTCTAAAAATTAAATTGTGCTGTCTTAACTCAATATTTTCCAAAATTATGATATCAGGCGACCTGGAACATAAGATATTGCAATAGTGCTTTTCACTATCAACCATCATCATTATCAACGTATAGATAACTGTATAAAAGTGGTTGGGGCTAAAATGAGACAATTCCAACTACAGACCCACAGGAATGGCCCTCAAAAAAGAAGAGTAATCTCACATCAGGCCATTCATTAACAATTTCTCTGGAGATATCTTTTGTTTACCTTATCAAGTATTTTATGCACGTAACGTCATCAGAGGGCACTGAATGAGGTAGCAATTGACATTTTTGCATGTCTTAATACGTACCGGTCCAACCGATATTATTTTGCACTAAAGTAAAGTGAGCAGGGTATAAAAAGAGCATAGTATCATCCCATACGGTAGTCTTGTCTTTGGTCATTTCAAATCATGGTCATCTTCTACAGTACAATGTATAAATTTTCTTACAGCTACAAAGTGAAAGGGATTACTCCTATTAACAGTATATCCCCATACGCTTACGATAGCCGCGAAATTTCAGTACGAAGGTGATCACATTTTTCTTGGCCAGTTAACTACACAGACCCATATTTAGGGGTCTTAATCATTCAGGAGTTACCTAAACATTACCAAAACTGTATACCACATGGGCAACCTATTAACAGTATATAGAATTTATCCCCATACGCTTACGATAGCCGCGAAATTTCAGTACGAAGGTGATCACATTTTTCTTGGCCAGTTAACTACACAGACCCATATTTAGGGGTCTTAATCATTCAGGAGTTACCTAAACATTACCAAAACTGTATACCACATGGGCAAAGTGCAGCCCTGACCACATGCAACCTGACAGCAATTTTGATGTGGCCTGCAAAAAATCTATTAAAAACCCGAGTGTGGCCGATGCTGATCATTTGTAAAAGAAATATTAAAGTTGAGCATAGCATAAAATGGTACAAGAATGTAGTTGTTAGTGCTTAAGATCTTTGCCTTCTAATCCATGTTCCTGGGTTTTCTCTCCAAAATATACAAAAGACAAGAACAAACAGACGCAATGAGAATATCAGGCTACCTTCTAGGATATGCTGAAAGGGTCACCCTTTGTAAATATGGTAAAAGAAAGGAGCAGTGCATGCAGGTTTCACACACTTTTGAAACACTATACTTTCACCAAGAATCTACGTTTGTGTGTAGC